CAGGCCCGTAGCCAGGTCATTTCAAGGGGGGGGGGGGTTCTCTGAGCGTGGGGTCCAGAGGTGGCACCAGGATTTGGCATGTTTAAATCACACCGAAAGATATATAAAAAAAGCTCATCGCATAAACAATATCAATATACTCAACACGTTTATTATTATGAAACAAAAAAAAGCTATTCTTCTTTTTTCCTCCTCTTCTTCTTCTACTACTTCTTCTTGACTCTCAAATAATAGTATTATTTTACTACATGGCTAAAAAAAGCACAAATACTGTCATTACTACTGATAGGGCCATCGTTAAATTAAGTCAGAGCCCAAAATATAGCATAATTCGAAATTATTATTTTAAGACTTTATAACATAATACATAGCCTACAAATTAATAATAGCTGAGATGCACATTTCAGAATTAATAATCGTTTTTAGTATATCTTACTGAATATTTATTGTCTACAAAATGAAATATGAATTATATGCATCTTTAGAAACAATATCATTCTTGTTTTTATGTAGATAAAATGTTCGATAAATTCTATCTTTCATAAAATAAAAAAAAAAAAAAAAAACACGAAATTCAGCGCGTCTATTTTCATTCTAATCAATGGCGTTTGTAAACGTGCACGGACGTCATCGTCGAATCCCAGGTCTTCCGACGGTAAAGCTGGCCTGCCTGCCTAGGTCCGTCCCAGGCCAACCAATAATAATTAACAAAATGTATTTTTTTAAATATAGGCCTATGGCGCATCCTGTACATGCACTTCAACTTCTTACAACAAAAGCCTAGGCCTAGTAGGCCTACCTGTAGTACGTTCTACTGTACTTAGGCCTAGGCCTACACTAGTTTGTTGTCGTCGGGGTATAATTCTGTATCTAAATGAACGAATGAACCTAGCTAGTCAACATCTAGGCTAGGCTAATTGATTTCAAAATCAATAACCCACCAGGACTATCTGTCGTTTTCTTCTTTGCAAAAGCGGACGAAAAAAGTCAGTTATTCTACAACGTTTCATGATTCTTTATCACTAAATATTAACAAACACTCGTTTTGACGCACTCCGTTCTGTAGTGTGTCTGCTGTTGAAAACAAACTTCCTGTGACTGGCTATGATGACTGAGATGGACTATGTTGATTTATTAATAATATTTCGTTTGGGATGAATAAAAGGAGAGACCATTTCCCCAAAATACTCCATCAGCACATAGTTTGGTGTGCGCTATGGACAGTATGGCTATGGAATTTACTAACCACACAATCCACGATTAGGTGATTAAGTCGCAAAACTTTATCTGCATTTGGTGGATTAAGTCGCAAAACTTTAGCTTGGTTTGGTGGCACCATTTACTCTAGGTAGACGGCGACCGGTTTCGTTACCGGTTGGTACATTTCTTACAAACATTCAGCCAAGGGCCAGTGAAAGTTGAGACGGCAGCCGGGTTTTTATCGATGTTTGCCATCCTTATGTGTGCCATCGTAAAGTCATGGTCGGGTAGTGAAATGATTATTGTACATTTTAAGTGCTCCCTCCATGCATAAGTGTAAGCTAAATTACGGTTATAAATTAGCGAAGATATGGTGACAACTATTATGAAGTTCCCTCTTTTCAAGAGGGGATGCAAATGCTTTGTGAAAATGAGTACGCGGCGGCCCGCGGTACTCATTTTCACAAAGGAATACACTCAGCTGGTTAGCTAACAATAGGCCTATGCAAATTTACATGAACACCTGGTAAGAAAGGCGCAATCACGTTCTGTTGCCTAGCAAACGTCTGTACTGTAGCGTGTGGGGGGTGGGGCTAGCCTACTGTACTGATGTACTGTGTATAGCAGGGGACGATGAAGCATAATATGACTAGGCCTAGGCCTAAGTAGACAGTACAATTTTATGTGATAGAAAGTACACTTTCTGTCTCTTATACACATCTAGATGTGTATAAGGCCCCTTTACATCTGTCCGTGGTTTGATTGTATCTGTGATATACCAAATATGCCCGATACGATATTTACATCACCGATCCTATTTCAACACCGTAACTATTATGTCATTATATAAACACAGTGCTAGCAGCAGCAATGATTCCGAAGTTACTTTCATCATAATACCAACTGCGATGTCTGAAGTAAGCTCTACTTTACCTCTCAGCCACTTGAGATGCTTTACCAGATGCTTTGCCAGATGCAATCTTTAAATCATTGTTCATTTATTCGAGAACTGTTTTTTTATTATTAGTTATATTTATAATAACACAGTTGTATATATAAATGTATAAATCAAGTAGATAATAATAGAGTTCTCAAATACATAGGAACATGAAAATATGTTCCTATCTTACTGCTAACAGCTGATTGTGAAACTTTAATTAGTAAACTTACTAAGGTAATATATAGTTTAGGGAAAAGAAATTCGGATTCACGATCATGCCATGATAGTTAATATAAAAACTAATGGTTCGAATATTACTAGTTGCGTACACTAATACGACAGACATTGAGATCATTTAGCAAATATAGAAACGATATAAAATTCAATGTATATATAAAATGTAAGAGAGTACAAAGATATATATATATATATATATATACATATATATATAAATATATATATGTGTATATATATATATGTAAATATGTATATATGTGTATATATGTATATATATATATATATATATATATATATATATATATATATATCGGTTTACAAAAACAATTAAACTGCCTTTAAACAATACTGCGATATTAACAAAATAGAAATAAATAAATTAAAAACTAAAGCTATGGTGTTTCGAAATGGAGTAGTGTTAGGAAGAGATGATAAATGGTATGATGATAAATGGTATAATGATAAGGTTAAGCTTGAATTCGTTAAAGAATATAAATATCTAGGTTTTAATTTTAATTTTTAATGGAAAATGGAGCATCATGTCGAAACGGCAGGCAGAAAAGTAGAAACGAGTATAATTGTTTAACGTAAGAAATAAAATGTCAAACTTAGGGTTTACATCTGCAGAAATAAAATTACAACTATTTGAAAGACAAGTAATTCTAATATTATTGTACTGGCCTGAACTTTGGGGATATAAAGACTGCAGACATATAGAATTTGTTTGAATGTCCAACAACCATGTCCAAATGAAGGTGTGATAAATAAATGAATTGCGTAGAATTCCTATCAAATATAAAATGTTAAGAATGATAAACTACTGATAAAAATTAACAAAATGGAAAATAATAGGCTATTAAATATTTGCTTTCAAAGACAACGTATTGGGCAGAAAAGGACATAAATTGTTGGGCATTCGAAATATAGAAACATAGGTAATTTTTTTAAATAGCTTTTACCTATTTTTCACAAAGAATTTTAGATGTCGAAATTCAAAAATGAAATCTTATGACAATGTTATTAAGCCCAAAAATATACGTGAAAAAATGTTTATAATTTATGTCCGAGATACAGAACAATAATTTCACGTTTTAGGTTATCTTGCAATAATTTTTCTATTGACATGGGACGACATATGGATGTTGATAGGGAAAATAGAATCTATTTATTTTGCGACTCTTTAACTTAAAAGATAAAATTAATTTTCTATTTGTCTCTCCATTTTATAAACACATTAGAAAGAAATATAAACCTAAATTGAATGTACATTCGTTAAAAAATATATTTGTTAATAGAGAAGTTGATAAAATTAAGTATTTAGCAATGTATTTAGACATTAAAAATCATTTGAAAAAAGGAACGTCTGTGTGTCCGATGATTTTGATTTATTTTGTGAAATGGGCCGGAGACCATTTTGAGCTGAAATAAAAGAAAAATTATTTTGGATTTAACTTGCTCATTTTCCAGTAACATATAAGTTAATAACACCATGGAAATTAGTGGATGGAAAATGTGTACCCTAGTTAATTTGATAATTATATTAAAAATAATAAAACACTTCGTGTGCCTAAAAGTGTTTCTATAATTTTTCGCTGTAAAGTTATGGGTTAACAATTTTATATATACAGTAGTAATATTCAAAGTGTTTGCAAATACACAGGTCATTAAACGGGCGTCGATAGTTTTTCATGATCCTCTCTGCCACACTCGCATAATGTACACAGTGTTGCTAGTATAATCAGAATCTAGAAGTAATAGAAAAGAGAAACGTGAACAATTTTGAGTTAAAAAAGATTTATTAAAGTCTCACAAGCTGTAGAAATTACTTGTTTTCGCTCCGACGATTAATGGCTTTTTCTCCCCGAAGGTGGAAAGTGGATTTACCTCTCTCACCGGCACCACCCCTGTCTATATGATTGATTTACTTGATATATGTATCAAATGGGTTTTAATAATAATAATAATAATAATAATAATAATAACAATAATAATAATAATAATAATAATAATAATAATAATAATAATAATAATAATAATAATAATAATAATAATAATAATAACTAGAGAGCACTCAGATAGTGCATGCCTCCGCCCACATCATAATTCTCCTCAGTATAAATTTCCGACGCATATTGTCCTCATAAAAAATGATGAAAAAAAAAACAGGGGCAAAAACATACCCTCCTGCCAACTTCGTTGGCGGAGGTAATAATAATAATAATAATAATAATAATAATAATAATAATAATAATAATAATAATAACAACAACAACAACAACAACAACAATAATAATAATAATAATAATAATAATAATAACAATCATAAATAATAAAAAATTGCCAATATGGAAAATATTTTTCCTCAAAGTCAGCAAAAAGTGGTTTTCATTGATAATACACTTTTTTATAACAACATATTTTTTAACCACAGTGAGTCTGAAATTGCTCTAAAAATAATAACAAAGTAAGAACAAGGCTGAGGTAAAATATATGATTCTTATTCTGCTTTTGATTCTGATTCAAATTCTGATTCCTTTAAAAAACTTAAAGTAAAGTATTAAAAGTGTATAGGCCTATCAATATTATATATACTTCATTGATGGGAGGAACACAAAATACTCGGCTAGGCTTGTGCTGAAATTCATAATTCCCCCTTAGTGTGTGTAAATATAAGTACAAACTAAGAACATTTTAAGCTTGGAATTGACCAAAAAAGAAAAGAAAAAAAAAAAAACATTGGGAAAACTTTTAATGGTTCTTATAACATCTTATTCAATCAAGCATGTCCCTTACCATAACACCACTGTACACAAGAACTACAACGAACAACCCATTGATAAAATCCTTGATACCTCTGATGAAAACTTCCTCACAACCCTAAAAAACAAATACCTGTCACGAAAATTGCTTTATTGCAAATTCAGGTTCAGTAACTACATTATCGATTGTGTAAGATCCAATTTTGTATCAGTTTGTAAATTAGCCACCACTGTAATTTCATCGACTTTATGGAGCATACATACCGTATTTAAAAGAGCCTAACTTGTCTTTATCCAGACAACAAAAGATTATGGATCGTCGTTCGTTCGTTAGTTATTCAATCATTTTATTCAAAAACACATAAAGCACCAAACATACAATTATTATTAAGATATAACGTAATTATAATATTAGCATGCATAATTGTTCATTAAAAAGGTATATTAAATCAATTTAAAATTGTAAGTAATTACTTAAATAATTTGCACAAAAGCGAAGTCGTCAATTAAACTTAAATTAAACAATTAAGGACCTCAATGGAAATAAGTCTTTTTCGCTTTCTTGAGTTATCCTTGTAGTTTCCCTATCATTGTATATTTGTTTTCGTATTTTATCTAATTCGAGATTTTCCGAATAATTCCATTCATTCATTCATAAACACGTTGAATAAAAATTCTAGATAAAAACATTGGTTACAAAATATGGGAAAACGAAATTTTTGTTTTCAAAAGAGTGTTGAACTATTATTTTTTTTTACAAATTATTAATGAATCATTATAACATATATCATTACTTAGAAAATTATTATTTGAATTATCATCATTAACATGATTATTTATAATAGTAAACAAGTACACCAATATAGGAAAAAGAGAATAAAAAAATATAGTTATTGAATTGCACAAATTAAACTTATAGAAATATAAACATTATTACATTCACTTTTTATCGATTTAATTATTAAAATTATTATCATTACCATGTAAATATCATTATCATTTAAATGGAAAATGGAAAACAAAAAGCAGTAGAATTGTATACTGTATGATTGTGCAGTATACGAATCTAAATTGCATATTATTTACATTGCCTGGGCAGAAAATATTGAATACATTAAAATGTGACATAAAAAAAAAACCACGGAGAAAAAAACAAAAGCAAAAGCAAAAAAATAAAACATCATTGATCACATCAACTCTGAGCTCATTCTGACATCACTCAAGTTTTCAGTATTGAGTCGTTTTTTCAATTTACTTACAGTAATTGATAGAAAAATACATGACTTTTGAACCTTGGTCAACCGGTTTGAAATGTTGGATGTCGAGCATATTTCTGTGCAAATTTAATAAACTCTCTATACGATCACATAATTTGTCTATATTCAAAACGATTTGATCACAATGGTCGTATTGATTTCCCAAAATAATCCCGAAGGCTCTTTTTTCTTTTAACATTTTCAAGCATGTTACTCAGTTCAAAAGTATGACCAGCATTCCAAACAATGGCAGCGTATTCAAGAAGAGATCTTACATAGGTCTATCCCCTATAAGAAATAATTAATACTTCCCCGGATAATAGTGAAAATAAAACGCTTCCCATTGGCTCTTTCAACCAAATCAAATATGTGTGTTCTATTTAAGATAATTAGTAATTTTTTCTTGTACTGGCACATTGTTGATGGTAATATGTGGTATTAAAGTGGTGTTTTCATGAAGCATACTTGCATACACTTATTCTAATTAAGAAACATGCCATTATTTAAAACTGTCCAATTTTCCAGGGTATTAACTAATTGTTGAGTATTAATTCTTGAGTTTCTACACTTTTTTTTCGTCGATCTTGTCTTTAATGTTGTTACGATGCCAGATCCATAGAACATGTTCTGCTGCTTTGGAAAAGTGATAAGCTAATTATATTGATCTAAGTTTGTTCCATGTGGCTTGTAAAGTTATGAGTATTGGTAAAACTACGACTTTCTTCCATTGGCTTGGGCTTTGTTCTCATTAAAAGAGGAATTAAGACCACAGGCAAATTCATGAACAATGCAGGCGAAGGCCTATCGAGGCCAGATGCTTTAGTCTGGTTTATTCGTTTTTCAACCTTAAAAACTATTCTATAGCGGCTGCTTAGACGGTAGATACGCCTGATAATATTTTAATACTTGAGTTGACTAGTTTATTTATTTGTATTCTATATTTATCTATTAAACAATCAAACCCATTTATAAAAATGATTATGATGACGACGGCGGCTGGGGTGACAACGACAATAATACTAACTTATTAAACATGTTATCATTCGTGATCACTGCGCATAATATGCATTATTATGGATTAGTTCTTAGGTTTTGTATTCAACTTATCAGACCTACAACACTGAGATCAATGTCACGCTAGACAGAGTAAAAAATCAGGCCATGCGCTGCGCTGCCGGTAGTGGACGGACGCGCATGAAGAACGCAATGAGAGACGAAAAGGCGCGTGCAACGGATCATTTTTATGACAGTCCGTTCTGTCTTAGCAGATGGCATTGCTTTACAATGCGCTTTGCTTTTTGTAAGTGATAGTTTTGATTACCTGTGTGTGGATGTCGTCAGTGCCAGCTAATGCCCTCTCCACACATCCAATGTACATATCTCGACAACAGGTGATTGGTATTGAACCAATAGCTTGCAGCCAGTCTTCTGTATTGTTGTCTTTGTGGTAACCACAACATAATAACTACAATTTTAAGTTGAACAGATAATTACTATAAAATAATTCCATATTTGATAGTTGTTAACTAAGCTAACTTAATAGCTTTTAATTAAAAATGAAATCAATAATGCATATTTATTTTGCCAATTAACAGACAAATAAATAAATCAGTTTCTGCTATATGTTGCTAATCTAATTTAGAAAAAAAATTAGATTTTAAAGGTTTCAGATTTTATGACAGGCAGTATAATATTCAAATTCCAAATAAATAATGCTGCATTTCTGTAAAATTGATTGATTGGTAATGCATCACATCCAAAAGAAAACGAATAACAGCAACCACTAGGATAAAAATATAATAATTATTGTTATAGGTTATGTATGGCGTCATCATTTGACATTCATTGTATCGTTTTATCTCCTTTAGTTGTATACCATGCTTATTTGCCATTACTGCGCGGTTTGTATATATCTTTTGCGGGTTGTGTGGAAAATGGTAATACTGTATAAATTTTATTAATTTTTTTCATCATAACATTTAAGTTACCATTCCTTCTTTATTTATGCCGTGCATACAAATTGTAGGGCCTAAGCCTAATTCATATGACTAGAGCTGTCACTCAATAGAGTGCATATTTCCGCCCTGTTCCTGGTCGACTTTTTAAATTTCTGTGATTTTGACCATGTTCTTTGGTCTTACACAGACAAACAACGATAAGTAGATTACCTAATTGGCGAAGGAAAATATACATACATTACTTTGCCAAGAATTCCAGGTGTCCGTCAATCGCTTCAAATCCGGATTTTCAACGTGACCAAAGTAACGCATGCTCATAATAGTCTCATCAGCGAATCCGGCAAGAAGTTCAGTTTTTCCAAATGAAAGAAGTACAAATGCTGCTACGAGAACCAGTAAATATACGAACATCACAAGTGAATTGTACTGAAAAAAATAAATTTTCAGAAAAACTATATCTTCATTTATTTTTCTTGCATATACGAATATGTATACACGGAAACAATGACGGGAACAATATTTTGTTAACATCACAGAGAATCGCATAATATAACAGAAATGAACGTAATTCATATATTTTTGTTTATTTCTGTCATATTGTACAATTCTATGTCATTTTTGACCTTATATATATACACATATATATAAGGTGTATATATACACTCAAATAGGTACTTATACTATGCTGAAATATATAGGAATACGATATATATATATATAGGAATACGATAAGATGTGTATAAGAGACAGGTTCTTAGGTTTTGTATTCAACTTATCATATCTGGTGCGGTTGTGATGGCCTCTTTTTGCACATCCAAACAGTAATCCATCACAACAAGGGGTCGCGTAACTTTGTCGAAGTGCACCAGCTTAAACCAACTTTGTGCCTGCTTGGGCTTGAGGAGGCAATCCTGTAACCTTTTTTTAAGGGAGCAATAGACACATAGTAGGCACTAATTAACGGCCCTGAAAACAAGAAGCTTCGATAGGCTTAGCAAGCCAGAAGTGGATAACCATTGCTTGTAAAACTCATGAACTAGCCTCGAGAGACGGAAGGACCGAACGAAGACGACCACGGAAACGAAAATGGAAACGAAATAAGGATAACGGAAATAAAGATATAACTTTTAGATGTGGGACAATTAATATTGCTACTTACAAAAACAAAGAAAACGAGATACTTGATCTGATGGAAAGAAGAAAAATTGACATAATAGGACTCGCGGAAACAAGGCATATCGGTAAAGAAAAGAGCATAGACCTCGGCGGAGGTTTTGTACTAATGTACAGCGGGACAGATGTAGGGAGGATAAATTATGGTGTAGCCATGATTGTAGGACCAAGACTCTCACCACATATCCAAGAGGTGAGCTTAATCAGTGAAAGACTAATGAAATGTATTCTGAACATACAAAATAAGAAGTACCACATATATCAAGTGTATGCACCTCAGCAAGGACATACAACTGAAGAGAAGAAAGCTTTTATAGGTTACTAGAGGATTGTTATCATATACAAGACTCCGAGATAGGGCTGATGATGGGAGATTTTAATGGCAGAATTGGAAGCGACAGAGTGGGAACTGAAAAGGTAATGGGTTCCTTCGGTGAATAACATAGAAATCCTGAGGGAGAAAGACTAATTGACTTCTGTATTATGAACAATTTAAAGATTATGAACGGTTTCTTCCAACACCAAAGTTCACATAGGTATACAAGATATAGATGGAATCAAAACTCCGCTAAGTTTGACCAGATGTCAATTATTGATTATTTTATTTGCTCAGACAAGCGAGAAATATTAAATGTTAAAGCGTTTCCGGGAGAAACACTAGACTCTGATCACAGATTGTTGGTTGCGGACATAGCTGTAAAAGGGCTAAATAAACAAAGAAAAAACAAAAGGAAAGTCATTAATATCAATTCACTTGAAAATAAAGAAGTCAGAAACATGTACACATCTAAACTTAAGCAAAATCTACAGGAAACTGAAGTGGGAAATCAGGAAAACTGACAAACTCTAGCAAAATGTATTAAAGAATCAGCAGTAAACACTCTAGGAATAAAGTGGATAGGAGGCACTAAAAAGAGGCATACACCATGGTGGTCAGGGGAGGTAAGCGAAGCAGTGAAAGACAAGACAAAAAAAAATTAAGAATATGGCTAAAAAATGGAACTCAAGAAACCAGAAATGAATACATTTTAGCTAGGAGAGAAGTAGACAAAAGGAAAAAGATAGCAAAAACTCAAACATGGAAACAACTAGGAGACCAATTAAAAGAGGACCTAAGAAGCAATAACAAAAAACGGCTATACGGCCTTGCCAAATCTTACAGGAAAGATAAAACAAAAATTCAAAACATAAAAGATGAAAGTGGTGCAGTATTGGTCACAGCAGAAAGTATCAATAATCGGTGGACAGAATATTTCAATAAGCTACTAAATGTAAAAACAGAAGAGATAACAACAGAGGAAACTTGCAGGGAAGAAATAACTAATGAGGATGTGGAGGTAGAAGAAGATTTAATTACATCATAAGAATTAGAAGCAGCTATTAAAAAAATGAAAAATGGAAAATCGCCAGGGGAAGATGAAATCACTATAGAACTAATTAAATATGGAGGTGAGGAAATTCTTAGTCATGTTTTAGGATTAATAAACCACTGCTGGCGCAAAGGTGAAATACCCGAAGAATGGGGTAAAACTTTAATCATACCGATTTATAAAAGAAAAGGAGATTCCGGTAATTGTGAAAATTATAGGTGAATTTCACTAATTAATCATACAGCTAAATTATATGAAAGAATCATAGAAAAAAGAGTTAGACAGCGGATTGAACCAAGGATGGGTTTAGAACAGCATGGTTACAGAAAAAACATGTCCACCACCGACCTGATATTCAGCATACGATCCTTGGTGGATAAATCATGGGAGTTCAACAAACCAGCTTATTTCACTTTCATTGATTTAAGCAAAGCTTTTGACTCCATACCTAGGGAAATGCTGTGGAGATGTATGGAAGAAGAGTATGGTATTACTGGTCGTCTAGGAAGAGCTCTGAAAAGTACGTACAACCCATGCCTCTGCAAAGTCAGGACAGGTTTTGAAAACAAGAAATGGTTCAATGTAGAAACCGGTGTGAAACAGGGAAGCGTAGTATCCCCAATATTATTTATTGCATATATGGACAGCGTCATTAGAAATTTTAAAATGAAACACAATCCACCTATCACAAGTCTCTTCATGGCCTATGCAGATGACATCTCGTACTACACAGACGAAAGAGAAGATCTCGAGAGAGCAATTCATCATTGGAATGAATGTTTTAAAAGAGCAGGTATGAAGATGAATGTCTCGAAGACTGAAATTCTGTATGTCAGTAGGAAGACAGAAGAAAATCTCAAAATTATCATCAACGGAGAAACTGTGAAAAATGTAGAGAAGGCAAAATATCTAGGAAGCATCATCATGCAAGAAGGTGGAAATAAATTGGATATCACGGAGAGAATTGGGAAATTTAGCAAGAATGTAGCTGCTTTGTATCCTATCTTAAATGACAAACACGTACCTCAGAAGACCAAGCAGATCATTTTTGATACAGTCCTGTCACCTACCTTAATGTATGGTACAGAAGCATGGGCAATAACAACAACTGACTGGAGTAGGATACAAGCCTCAGAAAGGAGACCCTTCAGGATTATTACCAATAAGACCAGACGGGAAAAAATTAAAAATGAGGAGATCCGAAGGCAGGTTGGTGTGGCGCCCATTCGCAATAAAATTGAAGCAGCTCAGTTAAGATGGCGTGGTCATTTAGAGAGAATGGATGAAAATAGAGTAGCTAAGAGATGCTGGAACTGGACACCGTGTGGGAAAAGACCAAGAGGACGACCGAGGAAACAATGGATAGACACAATTAAAGATATTTTAAATAGGAATAACATGCCCACCTTCCAAGAATTAAGAAATAGCGGTGAGATGTTAGACAGACAAAAATGGAGAGAGAGGCTAGCACCACTGACAGGCGGATACACATATATATAAGGTGTATATATACACTCAAATAGGTACTTATACTATGCTGAAATATATAGGAATACGATATATATATATATGTATATATATATATATATATATATATATATACTTTACAGGGAATGCAGTATGGAATTCCATTTTAATTCAAAAATTGGTTTCGATGAATGATTAAAGTAACAAAACCGGGAAACATTATATCATATGTATTGCCATTTCTTATTAAATTGTATTAAACTTTGTTTTCTCTTGTAAACAAGTTTTTCCATTTTGTGGGAATAGTTGAACTCTATTTTGCTTAACTTCCTTAATTTTACATGTAAAAATATAGAACTTAGTAATAAGTAGTATAAATAACATCTTATTCCCTCCACACTTCAAGTCAAATAGCATGGAAAATTTATTAAGGTCAGTATTGATCAATGTTTTTAAACATAACCAAATATCTCTAACATTATATACAAGCCTATAGTAAGTGCAAAATATTTCTGTACTACTCTTACAGAAAGTGCACAAAGGTGAAATATCTTCAAACTTCGAAACCATTTCATTTGTTCCCAATATTCTATGAATATTGTAATATTGGAAGTATTGTAACTTAGAATCAGAGGTACATTCACATGTATTTCATATAGCAAAAACCCAGTGAAAATTAACAGGGATTGCAGTATGTGAATTTCATTTTAATTCAGAGATTGGTTTCGATGAATGCTTATTTCCTGACATAGGGGCGTACTACATATGTAGTTTGTTTTTTTTTTGTCAGAAAAGAAGCAATATTTCAAAAAGTCAGTTCATAATGGTTTTCGTTTTCAATCTATTTGTCAACCATTTTGATACAAGTTTATAATCTATTTATAATCTACATTAATTGAGAAACCTCTAATTCCTTAAATTTGATAGATCGTTATGTGGTATTGGAAGTAAGGTAATTAAACCCCTTCGTTGGGAGTCAGAAAAACAGTAAAGCCATAGTTCACGGAAACAACAAGTACCGTACTTGTCTAACATCTTCCCAAAAAATGAAAATGAAATTCCGACGGTAAATCACATCCCGGGCTGTTCCCATTTTTCATCTGACTGAAGCTATTAAAACATTCTTCAGCTCATATTAAACCTTTACCGACAGCTTCGTCTTGAGCCAACTTGACTTCAAAATTGGAAGGGAAAAATATGATAAAATATACATCTCTTTATAAAACTTACGAATTTCACCAAGAATTTGATTTTGTTTTGTGATATTTCCATTTTTTGTAGTTATAGTCTTTTCATTAAAATTTCGTTTCTCGAAATCAGTGGTTCCCAACCTGGGTTCTGCACAAACTAATTTGGGGGTGGGGGCGTCAAGTCAAAGCGGCCCGCGAAAATTGTGGTGGTCCGCAAAAAAATGTGGGGGTCCGCTAGATTATTAGAACACCTATTTCATGATTTCATTTTTTCACAACAGTGTGATCATGCCTCGACAAAAATTAAATACATTTGACAGGCATGACTTCGTTCACTGTTTTAACTGGCATTATATTTTTATTCCAATATTTTATTGGTGATCTGATAGATTATTTTTTATGTATTATTGATGTAAAGATATTTAGTATAGGAGAGCCACTTGATAGCGGTAATTCTCAAGTAATGTACATTTAGTTTCCACGTTTTCTCTTGTAAATTGCTTTTACCTGGATATTAAATGAATTTTGGAAAAAGTCAGGAGAGAGCCCTTCTAAATTTAACAAAATTATGAGTAAATAAGGGACGACAAAATATTAAATTCAAGTTTTGAGTCTGACAGTGTCATTTTCGGCCATCTAGAAGTGCCATAAACATACAAATTTCTTACCTCGGCGTAACGTAAATCACCTATCTGTAAAATTTACTATCTGCACCCTCCTCCCTCCTGTTTATGTCCAATTCCAAGATCTAAGATGTCGTAATTTGGCCAATCTTATTAGTTGAATATCAACCACGAATCTTCCTAAATTTTACAAATTTTAAGATTAAATGAGGGATGAAATTACCTTCAAATTCTGAATCTGATAGTGCCATTTGCGACCATCTAGAAGTGTCATAGACATAAAAAATGATGTTGGTAGTTTCTATTTCGAATTCCAGAACAAAACAAAAAGAAAACCACTGCTCTAAATAAAACAATAAACTTTGTAGGTTTTTTTTTTTTGCTGTCATTGATCCAATTATTTTCTAAGATATATAGTTCTTTCTCATAATTTGTTTCTAATTTAGTTTTGTATTTGCTTTTCTAATTGTATACGTTATATTTTACACTTTTAAAAACTCCAATTTCATACCAGGATTAAAAGGCTTTCGGATTGGTTTAAAGAAGCATGCATGTAACAATGAAATCATCGTCATTTAATAAAGGCACATTGGATTTCCACCATACTTTGTACCCGACCATTGAATGGTCATTTTCATGACCATGAGATATTCCAGTTTTTGAAACTGTATTGGAAATATGCTTGAGAAACAAATCTAATCTACATTGGATCCATTGTTCCCTACTGTTATTTTGTATTTGAATTATCTTTTTCGCCAAACACAATCAAATTTAGTTTATTCATTATTTTTAAAATGGTTTTTATTTTGCCTGCTTGACAACCACCTTGTTTGTCTAAAATAGGATTGATCACGTAATTTAAGTCCCCCCAAAAATAATATTTTCACAACTGAAATTATCAATTTGTGCTTTCAGTAATTTACCTTCTCTCTGCCAAGTGGAATTATCGGTGAGCTTTAAAAATTTGTTGGTGTCACACTGAAGATATTCATAATGCAAGTGTTATATGAGTTACGTTTCATGATAACTACTCAATTGCCTTTATCAGGTTTTGTAATAACAATGTCTGTCTATTTTAATTTTGTTACCATAGTCACTTTCGGCCACTCACCATAATCACACCATTATGATACAAAGACTGCATCCTGCATATGCATTAACTTTTCTAGTTAAGTATGTTGTGAGCAGTCTTTTCAAGTTTTGATTTTTTTTTACATGGATCCCGATTCCGATGAAGCCGATGAAAGAGAAAGCGCCACCAACGATAAATGAACTGTAGCTCAGCACAGCAAATGGATTGTTGATATTGATGTGTTTTAAGTCATCGGTTATTCCATCAGTTAACACAAACACACCAAGAATAAAACACCCTATAGCACTCGCCTGAAGCAATCATAAATAAATGGAATGTTCTTATTTGTCCTAATAGTACATGTTAACGCAAAATTCATCATCATCATCATCATCAGCAGCAGCAGCAGCTGACAGTTTCATCATCATTATCATCACCATTTAGCATTATCATCTTACTCCTCCTCCTGATTATTACTCACCATCATCATCCTAATCATCAACAGTCATCAGCAATACCATCATCATCATCATCATCATTGTCGACGCCTTCATAATTGTCATTATTATTAACATTACTTCATCATCATTTTCAAAATTATTTTCATTATTAACAATGATATATAAAATTTTATCATTAACTTGGTCATATATTGACAACTTATAGAGGTCTATGCATGTGGGTGTTGTTTTGTGCCAAGTACACTCTGTTTCGGCCGACATTATGCTGACCGCTGGCCATCCATCTCTTCTGCGTCGTCGTTTGCTGTCGTTCGTGGAAAGAACCTCTTAAAAACTGGTTTCCTTAAAATCGCTACAATCGTTGCGTACTGCGTAGCAGTCGCTGACGCAATCGGGAAGGCTTCTCAATTAGCCATTTTGAGGAAACCAGGCTTCACTAGCTAAACGATCCGTCGCATGACCCTTTTTGTGTTGCGTTCTATTGCAATCGATCGCCCGATCGTCGGCAGGCACAGCAAAGCTTATTGATTTATTGCAATTAGGTAGTGGGAGTTATATAGCGCATAATACCAAAGTCTAGCGAAAAAAAAAAGAATGAAAATCAAAAATAAGCCGTGAATCAATCCAGCTGCTAAACTAACCCTGTACCAAAAATATCATATAATAAGCGGTGAAGAGGTCTACTTACAAAGTAAATGACGCTGAAAAACATAGCAGAGCATTGTAAGCAGAGGTACTCAATTATACCTGCCATTTATCCAGGTATATCGAGTATTAACACAATTCCCACTTCAATATAATTTTCCTGTTAACTGTGCGGTTAGACCAAATGATAGACCCTCTCAGTGCAGGATACAGTATTCGTGAAATTAAGTTGTGCTACCAATGTGACGAGCCACCGTTGCGCCATGTTAAAAGCTTTCTTTTATAGTATTTTGGAAGTTTCGTGTAGTTGCCTTATGATTTTCCGTTTTGGTTGATTGCGTTTTTCTCTTTCATAGGACGGTATTGTTTGTATCTATTTTACCTTTTGTACAATGCCGTACTATGGTTTTACAATTCTACGTATATTTTTAGCATTTTATGTACAGCGAGTGTTTTATCATGAGATTGTTGCGTTGTAGCATGCAGGTTCGTTTATATTTGGACACACTCAAAAGCGTTAGAATAAGTTAAAAACGCAGTATATAAGGTCTCAGTGGTCTAATGGTTGGCCTATGATGCTGGCTTTGGTAGCGCTAGACTACATGTTCGAATCTCCCAAGAGACGTTCTTCATACAACTGAGAACATTTTTTTGATGGGCTATGTTTGACACCATTATAACATCTTATGTTCCTATTCAAGCATTCTTATTTGACACCATGTTGTCGTCTGACAGTTAAAGATGGCTGAAAGGGCAAATCTGGTGGAGGTGCATGATGGGTCATGTGTCATCTGAAGTACCTTATCACTGTACAAAAGCCTAAGTTTGGGTAGTCTCTTCTTCCTCGGTCTCAGTCGCCTCATGCATAATGTAAACTCATTAGCTGGCATGAATATTTATAATTAACTGGAAACTTCTCGGCAAACTACAAATTTTCTAGGCAAGTACGGTGCCAGCGGGTCTAGCCTAGTAGGTTAGTATTTTGTTCGCCGTGTAGACAGTAGATACATTGATGAGAAAGATTTGGATGTGAAAAAGAGGAAGATGAATTAGTTCGTCCTAGGCCTAGGTGACGTCAACGTAGGCCTAGTAGTATATTCAGAGTTAAGTTAGTGCACGCTAAACCTAGAAAAGCCTACGGTACGAGCATGGTCAATGTACGATAAAGAGACCACATCTAGGCCTAGGGGAATGAGCCCATTGTACAAGCCTCGGTATTCTGTGGTACGGTGGCCAGTTCCTATCCACGCCGCTCCAGTAGTAAACCACCGGGTACCCATCAGTGGAGTAGAAAAATATTTTTCATTGA